AATGCTAAATGGTTACATAACACTGTGGTCCATATCAACACAAATCTATGTGCCACTTCCCTCTTCTGGTATGGTGTTCTGATTTTCAGTCAGTACATGAACAAGCATCGATGCACTCTAGTCCAGCAAGGAGACAAGGACATTTCCTCGCACTCAAGCAGTCTTTGTCTGTGCAGTAGAAATGTGTCAGGTCTCGAACTTCAACTGGAGCTGATGGCTGAGTGAACATCGTCTGTGTTATGCCTCCATCATCACAAGCGGACCAACCATGGCCAACCGTTTTGATCAACTCTTGTCTTGGTTGGGGATGGTGACTCCTGCACCAAATCCGTAAGATGCCTTCCAACAACATGTCCTGCGCGCAAAGTACCACTGTTGGAGGAAGCATGGATGCATACTTGTCTGTCATTGTAGCCATGATGTACCGCAACTCATCAAGTGTGTCCATTTGCTTCTTCCCGTAGAGGAGTAGTGTGTAGCTACGGGCTACCGTGATGCTCTCCTTTATGTCGTCTTCATGGAATGACGAGGTTTGTCAGACTATCCGCATGTTTCACCAGTTTCGAGTACGCCGTTTTCTTTCCTATCCTGTTCATTGAACATGTGGTGCCCCTACATCCTGTGAGGGCATGAGCAGCAGGGAGACACTCGCATATTGTTGGGCCAAGTTCACTCGCAATTGTATGAACAGGAATGCATCTTTCCTCTCCTGAATGACCAGCATACATGTACACATAGTCAGCCAGTTGTCCTCTGCTGACATAGTAAACCAGCAAGACCAAGACATCTGTGTCGTCACAGCGGATTATGATTCTATCATGGTCCTTTGATAGTGCACAGGCATGCAGGATCATACGTGTATTGGCCTCCTCCTGGTCACTGTACAGTGATTCAACAGATGACGCTCCAGATGGAGCAACCACCTTCACAAGAGTTCCTTCACTAAATCCTCCTGCCAAGATAATGGATTTGTCGTTGGGAACATATTGTTCTGCATTCTCCAAGATATACTGTGAGATGTAATTCGCAAGGCTTGCCTTGTTTCCGACTCCCTTGAGAAACCTTCTGTAGTTAGGTACTTGTCTGCTCCCCTGGATCTTATAAGTAGGTAACAAACTGGAAGAACCCCACCGCTCGCGTTCTGTGGTCTTGATGGATGACACGTTATCATACCGATCGAAGTCCACCATCTCTGAATATCTTGCCAATGCTCGCCAGGAAAACCATTATCAGATGCATTCCTCCCAGCCTCATCGTTACTTTGCCCACCAGTGGTTTCGGTCTGCTCCACAGAATCTGCTGTGCCTTGCTGTAGATGGCAAAGTCTGCTGTAATGAGTATGTGATGCTGCCCCAACTCCTCAGATATGTGCACTAGCCTCAACGAAGTGGTAAAAATGGTTGACAAGTCAGATGGTGAGGCATTGATGAAGGGTAGATATCGTATCGTAGTAACGGGGACAGTCTTGGTACTGACGAGGGCGTTGAATCCACTCCACGCCGGAATGCTAGATTCACCATCTCCACAGGTCCTTGCCACTTGCCATATGAAATCTTTCATTATGACCTTATCCGACGTTTCATCCTCCACTTGATAGGTTACAGTGGGCTATGGCTTCTTTGCAGACCTGCGGTAGCCTTGGAGTTGTTGTTCCTTATACTGCTCAGTGTCCAAGGATTTCTGCTTTGTGCAAGGAATCAAGGACATATCATGACTGAGTGGAGATCGTTGGTACAACACAACAGCCATGGCATGTGTAGTGCGTTTCCCATCAACTGTCTCCTCATTATGATCAAAGTTGTCGATGGCAGCATCAACGACTGATTCAAGGTTTCTAGGATCAAACTGTGAAATCCCACGAGGAACCTGCACTTTAGATGGTACTGAAAGTTGATAAAGAGCTACTGATGTTAAGAACTTTCTCACGTCATTATAGTTTATGGAATATCCCACTGTACTGAGAACGTCTATAAGCTCCTTACTCCCATATTCATGGTGCATCTGAACACCAAGGCTAAATGTAATGGGTGTTTGCATCTTACAGGACTGAGAAATGATACTGTGACAGATACCAAGCACTCTCATGTCAGCATCACTTGAGTCACAGTGTCTAACATTGTCAAAAGATTCCTTCGAGGTGCACCATGCTATACCTAACCCAAATCCTAACTCTAACCCTAATCCTAACCCTAACCCTAACCCTAACCCTAATCCTAACCCTAACCCTATCCCTAATTTAAAAAAATAATAATAAGGCCCTCTAGGGAGAGAATTCGGTACCATGGGAGACGCGCTGTCCCTAGTCGCAGCCTCTTTCTTTCTTTCCACCCTAACGCTAACGCTAAAACAAATAGCTGATTAAAGTAAATTTTAAAGCATATATTAAAGTTAGTTATTGCATTAGTGCCTGTGTATTTCTGTCATCAGGTGTTAATTTTTGTTATTAAACAATAGCGAATTATAAAAGCTTTATATAATTTATAGGATTATTTATGGGATTTTGCGAACACCGCGCAACTGTGCTGCCTCTTATGAAGTTTTGCGTTACACGTTATTTCACACTTATAGATCGGGATACGATCACAAGAGCGATTATATTTACACCAACAACTACTGTTTAAACCAATGACAATTGTTTGATAAATGTGCATAACTCAAGCTAACAATAAAACAGAAAATATTGCAATCGTTCTTCTCGTAAGTAAATAAATAAGAAATGCCATAAGTGTGGTATGATCATCGAATGGCTATAAAAAGAGCCCTTTACTGCAAGTTATACTAATGTGAAAGTGTTCACTATAGGAAAGTGTTCACTACTAGTGCAGACCTGTGCGCGTAATCAGATCGGCTTGGCCGATGTCTGTTTTTTTGCTAATTATTCAATCACGGTATTTATACAACGGGCTTAAGTTAACGAACCTAGTGTAAACTCTCCATTTTAAGCCTGTCGTAGTTCATGCAGTTACCATCAACTCGTATAATTTTTATGCATATTTTATTTATTATCACTATAATCGCAGTGTATGCACTTTTTTTTAAAATTTATCAGCTTGTACGGCCCTGCATGATCAATGTTCACGTAGACATTGTTAGTACAACCCACTATTTTCACTTGTGTATGCTGTCGGAGGATCATTGGTGTGGGTCGGTGTAAATGTTGTAAAATAAAGTCCACACAATGGTGATATCCAAATATATATTTGTTGCTAGTCACATTTCCAATGCTACAATTTACAAACATTGTATGCAGAAGAAGCAAGGAAAAAATCTCAAGTGTTATGTTCAAGGACAATCTTATATTATCATAGCTAGAAACCATGCGCCTAATTAGCCATTAGTAGTTGTACGCTGTTGTATATGTGGACGTCACTACGTGGTTTTATAGTGGTACTAATATTCTTGCGTTTACTCAAAGGGGTTGTCTCGTCCTCGTCAGGGTCCGTCTCTTACCGTGTAACAGGATCGCCACGCCCATCCAGTTTACGGTAAATACTTTTAACCAATTGCGCACCAAAGCTAGTGATCACGTGAGGTAATTGCCTGGTAACGCGGCAATGACGCACCGATTTAGCAAACACGAGCAAGCAAAGTCCACTATACGCCTGCAGTGCGTTATATATATCGGCTAGGAGAATGACTATCGATCATTTATACTTACAAGATCAAGCCATGGCGGCTGCAGAAGGTATTACTACTAATGTGAAAAACGAAGCTGCGCTATTAGATCTTATGAACAGAACTGGATTTGCAATCGTTCAGGAGAATGGCCAAAGAAAGTATGGTGGACCTCCGCCTGTTTGGGACGGACCACCACCGCCACGTGGATGTGAAGTATTCATCGGTAAAATTCCACGCGACTTGTTTGAAGATGAGTTGGTTCCCGTCCTGGAAAAGGTGGGACAAATATATGAATTGCGGTTGATGATGGATTTCAGTGGGTCCAACCGTGGCTACGCGTTTTGTATGCTTACAAGCAAGGAAGATGCCTCGACCGCAGTCAAGCAATTGAACAATTATGAAATACGTAAGGGTCGGTACCTTGGTGTGTGCCCGAGTATTGATAACTGCCGGTTGTTTGTTGGAGGTATACCTAAAAACAAAATGAAAGACGAAATCCTTTCAGAGATGAAAAAAGTGACGGACGGAGTTGTCGACGTTATAGTCTATCCGTCAGCTACAGACAAGTCAAAGAATCGGGGTTTCGCTTTTGTTGAATACGATAGTCACCGTGCAGCCGCCATGGCTAGAAGAAAGCTGATACCCGGAAAAATACAGCTCTGGGGTCACCATATCATGGTAGATTGGGCAGAGCCAGAAAGAGAAGTCGACGCAGATGTTATGGGTCAGGTAAGCAGGAGATAAATAGTAAAATACTAATGATGCTAGGTGCAATGTTTCAGATGTATCTATCTATGTATCCAGTCATCGAAATCATACTCGGGCAAAGTAGTTTTGACTAATTAAAAAACCTTTCTGTGGATGCAAGGTGAAGGTTCGAGAGCTTCGAGAGCTTCGAGAGTGTGCTTCGAGAGACGTAGAATGGGCATAGCCATATTATATTACTATTAGTATTATACTATTACTATTAGTATTATACTATTACTATTAGTGACTATTACTAAGTATTAGTAACATATGATATATATGACATGTGCTCAAAATCGACGGGCACAATTGGAACTGAAAGAAGTGATTGCTATTAATAGTATTATATTATTATTATTATTATTATTATTATTATTATTATTATTAAATCTTTATTGCATGTAATTCCAATACAAATCCATGTTACCTCGGTATACATGTGAACTGGTTCCCGTTTCCCGTTGTCCATGGGGGATCTGACAGATGCAATACTCCAATAGGGTTGAGCGGTTGAGATAAACGCAGTGGCTATATATGCTCGGCAGCCGGGCACGGTCTTCGGTTTATGCCCGGCAGTTTTCCATAATACACATGTGTACACATGTATTTGCTTATTTAGCATATATATATATGTCATGTGGAGTTTTCAATAATGCCGGTATAGCCGATCTCCTAGAGCGCCGGCGTTACGTATGTAAGGTCGCTTGTTCGAATCCCATCGGTTTTTTAATTATTTTCCTGTTTTCTGTATTTTTCTATCTTTATCCATTTAACAATTTTTTCCCAATTAACTCAAATATTTACATGATTTTTCTACAACAATTAAATTAAATTTTTCATTGTTTTATTTAAAGGGACAGTAGCCTCTAGGATTTTACTGCATACAACTGTACTTACTGTATAACAAATCGTCTATACCCACATGTATTTGTCACCAGATACTTAATTAATTATTTACACATCAACGCTACGAAATTTGAACGGCGCCATGACACCCGCGATCGTGCTGCCACCCTGAAAAAGTTGCGTATTTGCATTTTTATTTTGCAGGTAAATGACCGAGGGCTAATCACAAAAGTGCAATTATATTTATACCTAAATGCTATTTAACCGAACGATATTCATTTTAGGGCAAATTTATCCATATTAAAACTGAAACTATATGTCGTTTATAAGATATTACAATCCTTTTGCTTTTAAATGAATAAATAAGAAATACCCTCGGTCTGTAGCCCTTTGCTGGAAAGTGGTTTTGCGCAACTTCTCAGATCGTGCGCTTTGAGTGGCGCCACCGTCGTTGTAATCAAACTGTAGTCGTTAGTTTTAAAACATTAAAAAAAAATATTTCTAATGGTGATTGAACCATGAAACTTTTTATGTAGCACAATTATAACCTAAATTAGCTGAAAATAACCCTAGAACCTAGAGGCTACTGTTCCTTTAATTAAATTTATTAGTGTTAATTAAATTTAAATAGGGTTAGGTTTAGGGTTATTCAGAAAGATCTAAACGTCAAGAGAGGTCAAACCAGGTCAAAGAGAGGTGAAACTGCCAGGCATTTAGGAAATCGAAGACCGTGCCCGGCTGCCGGGCATATAGCCACAGCGTAAAATAATTTCATGAGTAACGCAGTACAAAACAGCACCGTACAACAAAAAGAAAAAGTATAATACAAAAACTACAGTACTTTCTGTACAAATGAAGTGATTATCATTAAGGTACACTATAAAATTAATTCAACACTCGCTCATACAAGTCATACGTACTTCATTACACGCACGCGCTCACTCGTATGAACCCACACTTCACGCACGCACGCACACACACACACACACACCGACGCACGCACGCACACACGCACACATACATATTATTATTCAATCAGAATACATGACAATAAATTAGTTATTCTTTTATAGATCTGCTATATATATTGTTAAAATTGTAGTTGTTAACAGTTATTTAAACGTGCTAAGTGAAGGGCTTTTTTTGCATCTAGTGGGAGTGTATTGATTCCATTGGTTAATTGCCTCCTTAGTAAGTGAGTTGTGACCATACATATTATTTCTTATTTGTTTTAATTTCAGTTTCCTTGAATTTAGTGTAATATTTGTCAGGTATGGTAGGTGATTATTTCTGAGTGGTGTGGATACATGACCATAAGTTACTTGCATATTTTGAGTTGAAATATGTTTAAATTATGCTACATAAAAATTTATTCAATATTCATCAGAAATATTTTTTTTAAGTTTAAAACTAACGGCTGTATCGTTGTTTACAACGACGGTGGCGTCACTACTAGCCCATCACACAGGGTGTTTCTTTCTTATTAATTTAAGAGGAGAAGGATTGCAATATCTTATAAACAACTTTTAGATTCAGTTATAATATGGACGACTCTGTCCTAAAATAAAAATCGTTCAGTTAAATAGCAGTTAGGTATATATATAATTGCACTTAAATTGTGATTAGCGGTCAGTCTGTATAACGTGCAAAATAAATTGGGGGGGGGGGAGGGGCGCAATTTTTAATTTGAACAAGAAAACTTGGAAAAGTGATGAGAATCAGTAACATGTATTATACACACAGTAGTAAACAGTGCAAAACAAACAGTAAACAGGGCTAAACAAGCACATACATGCACACACGTACACGTATGCGAACGACGTTACGCACACGCAGGCATTCAACACCCCGAGTAACCGATTGTAATCGATCATCGGTTACTTGGGTCCAACCGATGATCGATTACGAAATTACAACCGATTGACAACACTAGTAGTAACTAGTAACACTTTAAGGTGGTGGATGTATTTGTATATATAATAGTACAAGTGTGTGATATTTAATTAGGTATTTTTATTGGAGGCACTTTTAGTTGTTCTCTAATTCTAGTAGCTGCTCCTGCCTGTCCAGATGTAAAGATTTTGTGGGAATAACCTTTTGTTATTATGCGTAAAGCACAATTTTGTAACTATAGTGTGTTTAGTCTATCAAGAGCTGATTTGGAGAGATTTTCGCAGCAGTGTAGAACCATAATTATTAATATATATATATGAGGTGCGGCAGGCGAAGTGACGAGTATTTTTGCAACTTTATCTCTGTGTGTAGTTGTCCCTGTATCTGTCTAAGGAAGCTAATAGTAATACTTGAAGTTGAACTTATCTCGTCTACTATGGTCATTCCATGATGACTGCTGATCTATTTTCATACTTAGAAATGTTACTTTTCTTGCTAGTTATCGAAGAGGTTAGAACTGCGGGTGAAGTGCGTTTTTCTGTAGCGGATAGGGTAGTATCTCACTGGGCTGCGACAGCTCGCGACTAGTTGGAGCCACAAAATTGCGAGATAATATGCGAATTAGCGACAATTTTCACTTGGAATCACAGTGACACTGAATTGGTACTTACGACACGTTCGCGTACATGTATTTGGGCCAAAATTCGCCGAGAGTTTGCATACATGTCGCGCGACATTCTCGCAACAAAATTGGAATTTTTTTGCACTTGCGACTGCGTTAAATGCATGACATTGACAATTGAGAAATCTGGACCATATAAATACGGGGCCTCTCCCCGGTCCAGCGATCATTTTGTCATCAGACGTCAAGCGAGATGGACCTCAGAGAAGAAGTGCAGAAACTGCTGGATGAGGACCCCAATCAGTCATAATTTAGTTTAATAGGTCGCTAACCCCTCACAAAGTTGTCTCTCATTTCTCGCACTTTCTGACTCACGGAAACTAAATTGAGAAGGGTTTGAGACGGGTTCGAGACACCCGCGACGACTCTGTGACTATTTTGAGAGAAAATTTTTCGCGTGAATTTTTCAAAATTCCAGCGACACGAGAGCGAGGCCCTGCGACTCACGCGAGGAAATTGAGAACCCCTGCGAACGTTTCGAGAAATTTTGGAATCTCTCTCGCGAATGCCGTTCGCAATTTGTCGCCAACAGTCGCAGCCTGGGCAGTGAGATACTACCTATAGCTTTGACCAAGGGCTCTTCGGTCATTTGCTTATGAATAATTCAATTACCTGACACATAACCAGCTATACACTGCCCACCATTTCATTAGGAAGAATCCCTGTCAGATATAAGCGGCCTTGGTCCTTTAATCTCTTTCCCGTCGGATCCAGCCCTGGCATATGTTGATGTTACACAAGCTCCGTGTATAAAGCAACTGCGCTGTATGATATGATTACGATTAGTGATAATACGGTTACCAGACGCCCAGCTCCCAGGCTACGCGTCCGGTCATATATTTCTTATGTGAATTACCCAACTATATTTTTTTCAGTAAAAAACAATAAGAAATAAATTTTTACCATAATATTACTTCCCTTTAGGTATTTTATAAAAAAAATGTGTTTTTGCAACATTTGAAGCAATAGTAAATCCAGTAAAATCAATGATTTGAAAGGGGGCGTCGTCTAATCGTGATGTGGATTTGGTAATCTGTGCTGAGCTTTGTAATGCTTTGTAATGCTGTTGTTCTCCCTACGTTGTGCAAACCGGGCGCGCCCGCCCTGTTTGGGAAAACTCCCCCCTGTTTCAATCGTTGTGCCCCGTTTAAATTACCTCCGCCCCGATTAAATTCCACCACAATAAAAGTTTGACAGCGCGGGCATCGATCGTCAAGAATTCCCATTCGACCAGGACCCCGGACGCGTGTATTTTTACCGTACCACTAATGCGTAAACGTCCTACACTACGCATGCACTGCAGAGCACACACAAGTACAAACAGTCAACCTGTCCCTAACACAACACTAACTGTACAACGACTCGACTATCTTATATACACAAGTACCCCAAATACCGTCTATGGTGTGGTGCGCGATTTACGCATATAATTAGTGGTACGCGTAAAAAAACACGCCCCCGCGACCCCCCCTAGTTTCCCTCCCTTTTCCCCACCCTCTCCCTTTCTCCCCCTCCCCCTCCCCTCCCCCTGTTTCAATTTCATCCTGGGGAGAACTCTGTA